GAATTTTTAAACTTTATATTCTTGTTTTGCCCTGAAGAGGCTGTGATGTGGCAGCCCCTTCTTGGTGGGTATTCTTCAAAGCACCGAGGAAGTTTTGAGGCTGGCCTTGTGAGCAGGTCATAAAACAAGCTGATGGCTAGAAAGCTGCCTTTCCTAATTGTAAATATTTTTTGAAACACCTACCTGGAATTTTTGTGGCCCTTGCAGCCTCCAAAAAGAGCAGGAAAGAGCAGCCCTTTCCACCCATGCTCTGCCCACCTGATCTCTCTCATATTCCATTGAGTTTTCCTAGTCACAACTCTGTATTGGTCCCTGTTGGACTTCATCTTGCTGGTTTCTTCCATTTTGGCTCATCAAGATCTTCTTGAATCATGAATCTATCCCCATTGTTTTGTATCCTCAACTAATAATTCCACCTTCTCCTCCAGATTATGTGCAGCATTATTCTCGGAATCTGAACCTCTCTCATTTCTCTTTGCAGGAGACCAGTGAAGATGTGGCTGTGAGCTCCACAGAGGAGAAGGGGGGGGGTGTTTTTGGATCGGGACCCACCAACCTTTAGCCCAGACTATCGTGGCCCAGTTGGAGAAGCAGCTTCCTGCACAAAGGGCCAATCGGTGTGGAGAGAGAGAAACTGGTCGATGGTGAAGGTCATTCCTGGCCTTGACTGACAGGGGAAACAAGTGACCCAGAGATCTCTTAGCTGCAACTTTAAAGGTGAGTAAAGTCTTGATGAAATCTTGGTTTGGAGAATAAGCATATATTTTGTTTGTAGCTTTATTTGACAAAACAGCAATTCAGACCAATTGGGATTTGCACCCAAGGTGCTGGATGAAGGCATAATGTAGTTCCATTAAGGACTAAAAGTTGAGTGTGTTTCATCAGCCAGTTAGGAATCCATCTGGTGGTGATTCTGTCAATCCCACATTTTTCTATCTTACCAAGAAGTCGGCTGTGGTCTACTTTGTCACCTGCCTTACTGAAGCCCAACTATACTTTGTTGAGGGAGTTTCACCATTTCACTGTTTTAGTCACTTTGTCAAAGAATACAATACGTTTTGTCTGGTGTGATCTGCTTCGGACAAACCCATGTTGGATTGTAGCAATAGCTTTGTTTGTTTCAAGCCTTTGGCAGATTCCTTGCTTGATCATCTTCCCAGTACTGATTGGTCTGTAGCTTCCTGGATCCATTATTCCCCTTTTTTGTAGTGTTTTATAAAATACACAAAATGTATCCTGAGGAAGCCGGGATCAAAAAGTCATGATGGGATGGAGCTCATAAGTGCAAAAGTCAGAAGAAACAGGAAAAAGGGGTAAGAATCAGAAACGGGCTCTTTACAGTGGCCTAACCTCTCTTTCCTTCCCTTTTGCTTATGCGATGTCTTAGTTTTGGGTATTTCACGTAATTTGTCCTGGACGTAGGACCACAATTGGCACTGGAGTCTTTGGTCACTGAGTACTTGGTTTATAAGATGTCATGTGAGAGCCTGGCTCAGTGACTGCAATCCTGTCCTTTTTATTTATTTATTTTTTATTTTTTAAAAAAAGTTTTTTATTTATAATACAATTAAAAAACATTGGACATGAGGTAGCAATCCAGTTTAAACATTTCTATCAAATTGTTTCTCTTCTTACATTCAATTCTCTATAGATACATATGGATTTTTTTATACAATACTTAATACATTTTCTCTATTTGCTAACCTAAGGTTATATACATTTCCATCTTAACGTTAATCTATAACCCCAACAGTCCTCCTCGATTCCCACCAATAGTAAAATTTATCCCAGATTTCAAAATATTCTGATCCACTTTTATCCTTCAGTTCCATCGTAAGCCTGTCCATTTCAGCACAAGATAATATTTTATGTAATATCTCTTCCTCTGAGGGAGTTTCTTTGTTCTTCCATTTTTGTGCAAACGCCAGTCTAGCAGCAGTCAAGATATGCAACATCAAGTAGACTATCCCCTTATCATATTTCTCTATGGTTATGCCCAATAAAAAGAGTTCAGGTTTTAGCTCTATCTCCAGCATTAATATTTCTTTCAGCCATTTTCTTATCCTATTCCAATAATCACGAGCTTTAGGACATTCCCACCACATGTGGTAATAGGTCCCTATTGCTATTTTACATTTCCAACATATAGGTGAAAGATTTGGGCCCATTTTGGCTAATCTCGTGGGTGGGAAATGCCATCTGTAAAACATCTTGTAGAGATTTTCCTTGTAAGAAGTAGCTAAAGTAAGTTTCCTGTTTCTTTCCCACAATTCTTGCCAGATGTGCAGATCAATATTAAAGCCGAAATCCCTACTTCACTTTAACATACTGTAGTTTCCTTGACCTGCTCTTCATACATTGCCTGATCTAGGACAGGGCTTTTCACCCATTGTACCACTTTTAGGATATGGCAATATCCGAGTACCACCAGTCGCCTAGCAAGGTGTCAAAAACTTGATGACCAAAAAAAAAAAAGGAAAAAAGTGATAAAGTACAGGTAGTCCTCGACTTACAACAGTTTGCTTAGTGACTGTTCGAAGTTACAATGGCACTGAAAAAAGTGCCCCCCAAGCCACAGACGAGCAAGACACCTGCCTGCCCGCCCGGCTGTACTCTTCCTCCTGTCTGAGGTTGTTGTGAGCGTTTCTGTTGAGGATTGGCAGTGGGGGTGGGGTGGGGGGTGTTTGGTTTTTATTCCCCCTGTCTGCTGGGTGGTTGCAGCAGGTTTTGGTCACTTCACATGACCCTGGGACACTGTGACCGTCATAAATATGAATCAGTTGCCAAGCATCTGAATGTAAATCACAAGACCCTGGAGATGCTGCAAAATTCCAGCTGATCGGGGCTTCTTCTGGGCTCAGCAGAAGCTCCAGGATCAGCACTGAGCTCCAGCTGGAGCTTGGCGCTGATCCTGGCGCTTCCACTGAGCCCTGACAGCCCTGCAGCTCCAGCCGTCTCTCGCTCAGGCTTGTGCGGTGCTGCTACCAGTTCAGCTCATTCCCCTCCCCCGCTACCACTTTTCTAGGATGGTCGCGTACCACCTGCCAGGTGCCAATGTACCACAGGTGGTTCCCGTACCACTGTTTGAAAAGCCCTGATCTAGGAGGTAGTAGTATATCCTTTTAATCATTTTGTCCTCGGTTCCTAATAATATTTTGTCTACTCTGTCAACTCTGTTTTTATACCCCACTCTTTTTTATCTTTCCTATATCTTGATGCAATCCTGTCCCCTTGTTGTGGCCGTTAAGCGATTTCACATGTCGTTAAGCAGACGAATGTGGGGTTGTCTGAAGTGGGCAGGAGAGGCCACGTGAGTCCCAGCACAGGCCACGTTTGACTTGAGGGGGTCCTGAAGAAGCTTAGAGATGCTTTGGGACACGTTGCTTGCAAACATGTATGGAACATGCGGCTTGGAGAATGGCGCAAGGCTGCAATGGCCTCCAGTATGGGGATTAAGGCCGCATTTCTCAGTGGCAGCAGTGACGCTGCTCTAAAGTCTGGTCCTGGGGTCAGTGGCCACTGGCTGAAATGGCTGAAGGCCCCAGGCCTCCACTTAAGGTCCAGCCCCGGCATTGCTGTCAATCAGGGATGCTTTCCATGGCCTCAATAGGGCAGCTCAGACTTCCAGGGGTGGCTGCAGCTGTGCATCACCCCCAAACTCATGGGTGACCTGAGTCTAGTCTCCAGGACCAGCCCCACCCTCAGACACCCCCACATCCCTTCCCTGGGCCTTCTTCCACTTTAGAACCCTGAAGGATTGTAACCAGGAGCGTGGGATTGTGGCTGTATGTGAAGTGGCCATCTGACCCCTCACATAATTACTACTTCACTGAACGACCAACATTCCAGTCCCGATTTTTGTCCTAAGTTGAGGACTGCCTAAAATTTCAGAGCTTCTTTTTCACCTCGTCGTAGGACGAGAACCAAAGAGGAAAACATAGAGTCAGTGAACCACAGAAGAGTTTGCCTCCGAGGGATCTGGGGTGACGAAATCAATGGAGGTTTTGTCTGGGGTGTCCTGCGGACCTCTGACCATGGAAGAGGTTTGGACTGGAAGACATCCATGCTACCTTAGAAGGCTAAAATTTTGTAATTCTTTACCCTTCTGAAAAAGAAATATTATTCTCCTCTTCTTTTTTGTTCCACCAGCAGGAAAACAACTGGGATCTAAGATTGACCTGCACGTCAACTATCAACAGATAGTAGAAAATCAGCACAAGGCAGCAGCCGCCAAACAGCATGGAGCCTGGGAAACTCTTGGATCCCCCGTCAGACACAAGCAGCACTCTGAAAAACCACAAAAGAACCCATGAATGCTTAGAGTGTGGGAAATCCTTTGCTCGCCGGTCCCTCCTTTTGACCCACAGGAAGGTCCATGTGGGAAGCGGATCCAGTGAAGGATTGGAGGGTGAGAAATCCCTTTTTGGAAAAAGTGTCAAGGATCCCAGAAACCCATGCAAACTAAAGCCCTATAAATGTGAGGAATGTGAATTATGCTTTGGTCAAATGTCACACCTTCTAACACACCAGAAAATCCACACTGGAGAGAAACCCTATCAGTGTCTGGAATGTGGGAAATCTTTTCTTCAAATAGGAAGACTTAAAATCCACGAGAGAATTCACACGGGGGAGAAACCTTACACGTGTTGGGAATGTGGGAAGAGCTTTTCCCAGAAGGGCGGCCTTCGGGCCCATGAGAAGATTCATGCCGGAATAAAACCTTACAGGTGCTTTGAGTGTGGAAAAAGTTTCACCGAGAGTTCGTATCTTCGGAAGCATTGGAAAACGCACACGGGGGAGAAAAACGAAAAGTGCCTCGAATGTGGGAAGTGTTTTACCTTGAAATCATACCTGGTGCAGCATCAGAAACGTCACACTGGAGAGAGACCCTATGAATGCCCGGAATGTGGGAGACGATTTGTACATTCTTCTGAATTTCAGAAACACCAGAGGAGGCACAAAGGGGAGAAACCCTATGAATGTGGGGAGTGTGGGAAAGGTTTTCTTACTCAAACAGAGATTCAGGTTCATCAGAGGATCCACACGGGGGAGAAGCCCTACAAGTGTGGGGAGTGTGGGAAATGCTTTGCCAAAAAGGAAAACCTTGGAAGCCATCGCAGAGTCCACACAGGAGAGAAGCCGTACAGATGTGTAGAATGTGGAAAATGTTTTGTAAGGAAAAGGAACCTTTGGAGACATCATGAAACCCACACAGGGGAGAAGCCATATCAATGCATCGAATGTGGACGATTTTATCATACTGCATCAGCCGTTAGATGTCATGTGGAAACTCACACAGGGGAGAGAAATTACAAATGTTTAGACTGTGGGAGAACATTTGCTCATTCATGTTCCCTTATACGTCACAGCCAAATCCATATAGGAGACAAGCCCTATAAATGCTTGGAGTGCAATAAATGTTTTTCTAGGAAAGATTCTCTTTTGATGCATCAGCGAATCCACACTGGAGAGAAACCATACAAATGCCTGGAGTGTGGGAAATGTTTTGCCCGAACTTCATCTCTTGGCAGGCACACCAGAAGTCACACAGGGGAGAGGCCTCACAAGTGTGTAGAGTGTGAGAAAACTTTTCATTGTAAATCTCAGCTAAAAAGGCATCAGAAAGTCCATAGTACAGGTAAACCCCTTCAGTTTTGAGGAATGTGGAAAATATTTTTTGAAACGTCACATCTTATAATTCACCAGGAACTTCACACAGTCACAGAAGGGAAATAGTACAGTTTTTTGGTGTGGGGAAACTGTCACAATCAGGAAACCAGCGTGGCACACAGGAGACATTTCACAAATGCTTCAGCAGAAATCAAAATTTTATTTCTGATTTTTTTAGTTTTCATTTTAGATATTAAGATTTTGGGGTCCAAAGAGAAGAAGGAAACTCAGTTTAGACGCCTCAGATAATATGAGGTGATGGAAATTGCCTTGTGATTCCGTTGCACCTAAAATGACAGGAATATCCTATTTTTCTCTTTAATGTGTATTTACCTCCCAGCCAGCCCAGAGCCCAAGGATCTCCTGGTGGTCTCCCATCCAGTACTGCCGAGCTTTCCTAGAGTGGCCAAAGCTGGCCAGGTGTGGNAAAGGGAGGGTCTCTCTCTGGGTCTGGCAAGATGGGGTTAAGGCAAGTCAGAAGCCCAGTTAAAACTCAGGAGCTTCTCAGAGAAAAACTGCAAGGAGGGAAAGGGTTTGTGCTAAGTGACCGAGAGTCTTTTTGGAGTTGGGCAGGATTAACAAATTCAGGAAATAAATAGAAACATGGAATAAATATCCTACAGCACAGCAGACAGAAGCCTGGGAAAATGGGCATTTGCTGATAATTTTGTAGTAATTTTGGAAAACCTTTTGTAAGGAACAAAAATATTAATGGAAAAATTAATATTTTTGTGTTGGTCATTAGCTGGTTTTAAAATTTATAGCTGAAAGACAAAGATGGCAAAGTAAACATGAAAACGGGAGAGGAAATAGAATGGATGGGAAAAAAGTGTTTTGAAGAAATGACGCAACAGTGAGAAACCTGAGCATTATTTTAAAATACAAACTGTATATCAAAATAATTATGTTAAGGATGTGTTAAGATGTGGAAATTACAACTGTTGTTGGGGAGAATTTCTGTGAATAAAAATGAATGTATTACCTACTTTCATGATGTTTCTGTTTTAAACAATACATCTCTAAATAATAGGTGCACCCCTTAAGCCTGTGGTGGCAAACCTATGGCACGGGCACCATCGGCCCAGCCCTAGGCCTTCAGCTGGGTTTTATAAAACCTTTTCACTTTAGGCCTCCACTGCCGTGTGGAAAAAAAAAAAGGTTCATCTAATCAATTTCAACTTCTTGCAGGGGAAAAAAATGATCTTGCAAAGTTGGAATTGATTGATTGAACTTTTTAGTCCCACCCAGTCTGCTTAAGCAATCTAGGTTTGTATGCCGAGAGAAAAACCAAGAGTTTAATTTAAAACTCTTCCGGATGCAAAGAAAAGAGGATAGCCTGATTGGGATATTCTCCTTTGCAGCCTGTTTGGTTTGGACAAAAAGAATGAGTTTTGCTGAGAAATAAGAGAATTTAAAAATAAGAAGAGCAGGAGCCGAGGTTTGGGTGGCCTGGTTTTTATGTGGTACAACCTCAACAATCCTCGTGATGCATTGAGAATACGGAAGGGATGTAAGCCCGGAGGGTGCCTGAGAAACCCTGGCAGAGGAAGGCCATGTATGGGAGAGGAAAAGAGCAGGCAAAGGGGAACGGTCACGTATGGAGGGTTGTTAGAAAAAAGGAACGTGGGAGAATACAAGAAGTCAGGAGATCAGCAGAGGGATTTAGCTTCTCACAGTTTTTCTCTGTAGAATCGAGATAAAGATTTAAAGTGGACAAAAGGACAAAATGGTGGACTTCCGGTTTGCCGACACTGCTTCTGCAGACACTTGCAAGGCGACTCCGTCTTCCACGTCCAGTTTTCCCTCTCTGGGGGACCCTGGAAAGGGTCAAAAATCGCCCTGTAGGTGCGATGAGCAAGGAGGGGACACCCGCTTGATCACGGGAGGGCAGTAGCCCTTCTGCTTGATCCGGGGTAGCCTGTTGTGATTCTGTGCCAGCCAGTGGACCTGGCAGCTGAGTCCGGGGAATCAGAGGAGGAGGAGGAGGGCCTGGAGAGCTATCGGAGTCGGTGGAAGGCTCTGATGAGCTCCAGGAGTTACAATCTGATGAAGAGCCTGGCCCCTCCATTCATGCTCAGGCTGAGACCCAGCTGTGCTTGGAAGCTGAGTCTGACTGAGGACTCACAGATGGAAGACATCATAGACGCTCGCAAACGCAGACAGGCAACAATAGCAGGACAGAGGGAAGCAATGGGGCAGCTCCAAGGGCGAAGGAGAAGGCATTGAGAAGCCACGCCTTGGGGCTGCATAATAAAAGGGGACGGTGTGGGCGGTGCTGGTTGCTGAAAGCAACCGTTTGCAAAGGACTCAAGTTTCATGGAATCATGTTGTGTTTGCCTTCCCTGTGAACAATGCTCCATTTGAATCGTGTTCTATTTGCCTTTGCTTTGGGGACATTTTGCAGGTCTGTAAATAATAATAAAAGGGATTTGTTTTTCCTGCAGTTCCAGCCTACTTGTTAAAAGAGGGGTTTGTCCTTGTGAGTTAACAAGGACTCACATAGGCTGGGACAGAACACAGCCCTCCAAACTGGTAGAGGAGAAAAGAACTGGCCATAGCAATATGGCTCATCATTAGGCTGCAGACAGCCAAAGTCAAATGTACTATCAAGCACTCTGAAAGCAACGCAGGATGAAACTGGGTGAGATCTTATCTTCTCTTTACCCCAAGAACCTTCTTTTCCTGTAAAGGCTGTTTGAAGTATCTTATTTATTTATTTATTTATTTATTTATTTATTTATTTATTTATTTATTTATTTATTTATTTATTTATTTATTTTCATTAACTTATATGCCGCCCTTCTCCCCATGGGACTCAGGGCGGCTCACAGCATGTTAAAACAATATAAAACATTATCCGTTATAAAAGCCAATTAAAAACCAAATATTTATCGCTGTGTCTTATTAAAATCATTAAAATTGTCCCTATTTAAAATTCACCCTAGGTCAGACCCGCTTGCTGAAAAAGCCATGTCTTGAGGGCGCGGCGGAAAGTTAGGAGATCCGGAATCGTCCGGATCTCGGGGGGTAGTTCGTTCCAGAGGGTGGGGGCACCCACAG